TCCACCGTCCAAGCCGGCGCCCCCCACGCAACAACACAACACGGCCTGACCCACAACGCTGCCGGTCGAAGGAAAGAAAAATAGTAAATAAAAATAACGAAGAGAGCGCAAAAAAACTCGCCGGCGAGAAAAGGTGAAAAAAATTTGTTCCACCGCTGGCCGGGAGCCGAAAAATTAATTTGTAACAGAGAATTAGCAGCAGCACCAGCGGGGATACCACCCGCTGCGGATCAGCTGCATTTTGTGGGGCAAACAATTGATGAGGAGGTACGATGCGCCGGTCCTCTTCCGCTGGAGCCCTCCGCCGGCCTTCCCTCCGACCTCTTTGCCTTTTGCAATGGGCTGGCCTTCTCTGGGTCGGTGGGTCAGCCGGGCACTGTACTGCGGGAAGGTGGAAGGGAGGGGGCTCCGCGGGTAGGAGGCCGGAGGGCCGGAGGGCACCCGCGGAGGGCTCGGAGCGGGAGCATGTGGAGGGGCGGGCGGAACTCCTGTCGCGGTGCAGCTGCACCTCCTCCAGCTAGCGAGCTAGTGTAACATGTGACGAGCTGGTCGGCGACAAGTACCACTTCTTAATCTTTATCGGTGCAGGGATTCTGAAGGTAACATTTGTAAATTTACAACATTTGTATTTTACGATTTACAGAATACGTTGTAAATTTGCGACCGCCCATTCTTGTTCGTCAATGAATCCGAAGTCGATACATAATGCGTGTAATTTTATCATTTTAAGTCGTAATTTTACAACACAGGTCATTAAAAATTTTAATGTAATTCCTACAAGAATTTCTCACAGTAATCAGCAGAATTTTTCCTTTTTTCCCTTTTTTGGTGTTTTGTTCTTTAACTTTACCACGTCTTTACAAAATTTATTAACGTTTACCTTCTTTCAAAAACATTAATGTCTTTAATAAAGCTGCAGTAAAGTCAGACGTGCGCGTACCACGGTCTTTCATTATCTTACCTGTAGAACACCATTTCTTCTTGCATATTTTTATTTCTTTATTTAAATTTGTTTGGAACTCGGCTTTGTCTCTGTTTTTTTTCTTATTACTATTTGTTATGAAGACCAAGCAGGAAACCGTTACTGGCCGAGAAGCTGAGAAGTTGGGATGAGACTAAGTTGTTACCCTTGCGAAAGATACGTTTGTGTCCAGAGTTCCGATCCCCTCGCCGGCTGTGGTCAGTCATGATGCAGCCCGGTCCTGCTGCCGCCTCAAATGGGAGAGGAAGCCCCCGTGAGCTCACCTCACCGCACCGCCGCGGTCGCTGTGACCGGCAGGCGAACCCCCCGCGGGCGCCCCGCCCCGCCCTGCCTCACCCGGCGCGTGCCACTAACCGAAATACTTGCGCCCCTGCGCAATAATGGCAGTAACTCGTCTCTGTCGTATGGATGCAGCTCAGCGGCCATCAGCATATGATGTGTCTCTCGCTCGGCGCACCGACCGCTAATGACAAAAGTGCTAAACAGCGACAACGACGAAGCTGACAACGTTTGCAGTTGTTATTTGCCCCAACTGCATTTTGTTATCGTGAAGTACTTGTGTCGTCGTGAGGGGTGTGGAGTACAGTGAACATACTCACGATTCCCGACCACGCGCGGCTCCGTCCTTTTGGAGAAAGGAGAAAAAGGGGTCGAGGGGAAGGTATGGGTTTCTACCTGGCGATTGAATCAGGACCTTGATTTACGATGACTTAGCAGACATGATAGCGTTTCGCACCTGTCTCTCTCATTCTCTCTCTCTCATTCTCTCTCTCTCTCCCTCTTTCTTCCTCCCTCTCTCCCTCTAGCACTCGTTTGCTCGCCTGTACTTCTTCACACCAAGTTACGCGCGCCGGCAACAAACGTCGGATCATAAATCTAGCGCCCGTGAGTAGCGTTTGTCATATAGCCGCTTACATCTCCACGAGTCCGGCCCGCCACGCCCCCCGCCATGCTCCGCCAATGCGTTGCACATTTTTGCTTTGCCCGTCGTTCTTCATAGTGCGGCCTGCCTGCAAAGGTGGCACACCACCTTGGCAGCCCGTGGCAAAGACTACCGCAGGCAATGGCAACACTGTTAACCCGAATGTGTACATCGTACACTTTTCCTTGGGTATACTTGAAAGCACACAGAAAGAAGTCAGTACTTGAAAGCACACACAAAGAAGTGTGTGCCTGGGATGGCACACACAAGGAAGTGTGTACATGCGTGGTACACATTTCCAAGTGTGTACTTGCTATAGCGCTACGCTATGTGGCGGTGGCGCGCACACACTTCCTACTGTGTGCCACGCATGTACTCACTTCCTAGTGTGTGCCACGAATATGCTCACTTCTTTGTGTGTACTTTCAAGCACACACAAGGAAGAGTGTACTATATACACGGTAAAAAAAACGACGTTCCGGTTTTCACGACGTTTGGGTTGGGTCGGGTTGGGTTTAAAGTGAAAAGATAAAACAAAACATTAAACAAATAATTCAATTATTTTCAGATGAGTTTTTCTTTATCTGTTACTTGCACACTAAATTTTTGAGGATCAAGGAACGAGAGACGGGACGCGATTTACGGTTGCGGCACTGCAGTCGCATTGCATCACGACAGACATGCATCCATTCTCCTCCTCATCTTCTTTTCCGTTCAAAACCACACAACCCCGGTCGGGCTGGCCGGGCTTGGCTGGGCCGCCGCTGCCCGCTGCCGCACACCGGCCGGGGCGCCGGGCAAGGCCTCATCTCATCACGTCCATCGGTTTCTGCTGCAGCGGTCCGCGACGTAACGCTTTTGCAGTCTCACGGAAAGGTCTATTATTATTTGCCACTCGGAATGTATCAGGAACAATGCGAAACTACGTCCAACCAAAACACAGTCCTAAAATGGGTGTACTTTTTCTGCGGTGAAAGTGGTTACTGATTGATTACTGACGCAATAAATTGTGTGAAATCATTGAAGGGCCCCTTATCGTTGATACTTTAGCAGGTGATAAGAGTGGTCATATGAAAAAAAGTAATTGAACCTCTAAATAATCACTAGGCTCAGTTAACAATATAGGAGACATTAAATTCCCAAAAATCTACATCAAAAGGTACACATGCACCGCAGAAGATTTTTCTACAAGTCAGTGCGCTCTCGAAATCTGATCGCGATGTCCACGTCCACTCGAACGGAAAAGATGAAAAAATAGTGTAAAATATCACTTTTTATCCCCCTTCTGACTCGCTGTCGCTCGTCCCCCCGGCGGGTCATCCTCTCTGAGTAAAATTCAAAATGACCCGTGCGTAATGGCCGGCCTGCCTGCCGGCCTGGCCGCTGCGCTTCCTCCGCATTGCGTAAGCCTCGGCCGAGGCCTCGTCGCAGCGCGCCCTCCGCGTTCCACTGACCTTCCGAGCTCCAGAGCGCAGCATGGAATTTCTCATACTCGGCGATGTTCAGGGTGATTAAAGAAAGGGGGAAAAACCGATCTGGTAACAAAGTTTCGAGCAAAGGACCACTCTCATCTCCCCTTGCCGCCCCCAATATCTGCTCATACCGCGTTTAATACGGCGTGTGCATCACGTGGCACTGATGTCAGTGCCAATTTGTTTTTGAAAATCTGCCAAATTTTGTAGTTTTTTTGGCCTGTCTTCTTCATAGAAAGTCCCTGTAAAAATGATATGTACACTTTGAAAGTTTGAAAGATATCGTAATTTTTATATTAATAGAAGTTTTATTTACAAAATATGTTGTAAGCTTGTGACAGCCCCTTCTTGCTTGTCGATCAATTGCAAGTTGATACGAAGTTCTTGTAAATTTACAATTTCAGGCCAATTTTACGATCCACATCATGGACAAATTTTCCCGTGAACATACGACTATTCTTCTCCGTGCTAGAAACCTCCACTATAGTTTGTATTTCACAGTGTGTGCAGTTTGAGGCAGGTCGCGAGCGCCGGGGGCGTTAGGCCCTTGTTTCCGCCTCATCCTCCCCGAGGCGCCTCTCTGCCGTGCGCTGCGGGCGGGACGATGGTAGTTAGAGCGCAGTAAACATCGTTTACTTCCAACTTTACTTTGCGTCTGATTGGGTTGAGGAGCTTCCGTGCGGTGAAGCACGCGTGTGCCAAATGTGTCACGTGCCACGCCATATGATGCACTCTCCCCAAAACACGTTTCGTGATGCACTCTCCTCGAGAAACGAATCGTATGAAGCACTCTCGTCAAAAGAAGTTTCTTGATGCAATTTCCTTCAAGAAACGTTTCGTGATGCACTTGCCTCACATGTCAAAGGGGATATAGAACTGTTACCAGCCGGAACGCATCACAAGCGCATTCTTGCCAGCGGAGTGCATCCATCGGCTAGTCAAATCTGCTAAAATAATTACGCATGTCCGAGCGCATGTCTTTAGATAAAGACACCGGCCCGTATGGAGCCCTATATATAAGTTTCAGAAAATTTGTTGGATATCGGTCAGACTGCTTCCTATTATACACTACCCCACCTCTTCTTCCTCAACCTCTCCCACACAGCTTGGCAACACACTGGAAGTTCCATTGCCCACTGCTGCTGCTTCTGGCCCGAGCGCGGAGGCGAGTGGGCCGCCTGACCTCGTGACCCAGCAGCAGCAGCAGCAGCAGCAGCAGCAGCAGCAGCAGCAGCAGCAGCAGCAGCAGCAGCAAGAGTTGAACTGAGCCAAGCAAGCCGCACTCGCAGCGCACGCGCTCTTCCGGACCATGAAATAATCACCCTGACGTCTCGCTGGCTTTCACGCACACACACGCACGCACACACACACACACACACACACACACACACAGTGGCACACGCATTAACGCACACAACTGCACTCGGCGATGCGCTGGTGCCCCGGACCACAGGTGGTGCCCCTGGACATAGGGCGCCCGCTCCTGCTGCTCCCCGCCCTGTTGAACACCCTGACAGCCAATAAGGATGCGGTATCGCGGCCGCCTCCCACCGCGGTATGTATTACGACCATTACTGTTACTATCGTCACTATCATTACGGTTATTGCCCGTAACCTCCCCCCCCCCCCCCACTCCCTCCCTCCGCAAGGCGCAATCTCTGCTCCTCGTCTGTCTTCTTTGTGACCGGCGACCGAGGAGAGGGGGAGAGGGGCTGCCCGACGCGCCCTAACGAAAGAGTCCGATCTGCTTTGCTGCTGAACTAAAAGAGTTCGATCTGCTTTGCAGCGAAACCATGCAAAAGAGTCCGATCTGCTTTGCTGCCAAACCGAAAGAGTTCGATCTGCTTTTCGGCGATGGAACGTCAGGCATCTTTGGAGGGCTATAACTCCTCGGATATTTTGAATTTACGCAAAATAAAAAGACTTGCTTGTTACCCTGTCCTTTACGAATGTGTACACCCTAAAATATATACCCTTTTCCTCTCAAGCTTCGAGATATCATAGAGTTTATGCGGAGCGGTCGACGAGCGCCGAAAGCAGATCGGACTCTTTTGGTTTGGCAGCGAAGCAGATCGAACTCTTTTGGTTTCGCAGCGAAGCAGATCGGACTCTTTTGGTTCAGAAGCAAAGCAGATCGGACTCTTTCGTTAGGGCGCATCGGGCTGCTAAACATCTCGAACGAAATGTATTGGAGCCAGGTGTAAAATCACTTTACGGAGAAAAATGTCTTTGTAATTTTACAACAGATTTTGTATTTTTGATTTGTCAATTTACGATAGCCCATTTGTGCTTGTTGGTGAACTTCAAGGCAATACTGAGTGCTTATATTTTTACAATTTTAAATTGTAATTTACATCACACAACATGGAAAATTTCCCCTTACAACCCTTCTAGTTTTTCTCACTTGTCCTAGTTCAATAACTGTTTAGTGACGATATGATATGTCACACTTCAAACTTCATGATAATCTTTGAATAATTGTTTGTGCCACACTGCTATACGACACGCGAGCCGACGTGATTCAGCAGCTGACACACGTCTCGCTTGAGTGTGCACTTCACTTTAGGCGCTGCACCGACAGGCCTGCAGCCTGCAGCGCCGGAGCCCAGCACCGAATGAAGTCTCACTCCTCGCCTGGGGCGGCACCGACGCACACACACATACACACACGCACACACACGCACACTGGCGCGCGCGCAGGCAAGGGGTGGGGGGAAATCCCGCAAATCCGACATGCAGTAGCGTGTAATGTAATCCGAGTAATGCGAATACAAAGAGTCGCGGTCCCGCCTTCTTACTCAGATTAACATCACCGTCGTGTTGCGGTCACACACACACACACTCGCACCTTTGGCCCCGTCCCCACCCGAGAGCCCTCCGTGAGGCTGGCTCCTCGTGAGGTCTTCATCGCCGCGGGGTCCCCGGCCCGTCACGCCCACGCGTCATTACCGTGAGTAATGAGACACGCTGGCGGGCTCCCCCCTCCGCACTCGCGCACGCCCTGTTGTTGTTATTGTCATTATTTGTCTTTTAACGCCCCAAGCAACTCATACTCTCGTGTCGTTTGCAAAGTATATATACGAGCAGGTATGGAGAAATGGTTTTGGCATGTGTAGGTGAAGTAAGGTTCCAGCTTGGTAAAATAGAAAAGAATATATTGAAAGTTGGCAATGTAGGCAGCCCCGCGGTGCACGCATGTCTGGCGGGCCGGCCTACCTCGGCCTAGTTGGGCGCCTTAAGACAGTACTGGATGCAGCCCCGCAGTGCCCGTGTGTCTGGCGGGCCGGCCTACCCCGGCCTCGTCGGGCGCCTTAAGACTGTAGGCAGCCCCGCAGTGCCCGTGTGTC